CTTTTTTAAGGGATGGAATGGGTAACTAGCAGTAAAAAAGGACAAGTAGAACAAGGAAGTCTACATTGGAAGTTCCTGCCAAGACCAGCTTCCACTGAAATTTTTAAGAGGATGGCAGAGTATCAAAGGCACAAGTTTTCAAAGTATACGAGTGAGGAGCAAAATGAGTCATGCTACTCCACTCAGAAGCATAGTCACAGGTGTACTGCCAACACCACCTCCCATCTCAAAAACAATGATGCTCTGACATCAAGCTTCTTTCCTTATAACTAATAGTTCATCTGTACTACACCAATTGATAAGGCAACCAGCTCTAAGCAAACAGATAACTAACCTTATCTATGTTTTTCACCAGCATGCTTGCCAACAAACAAGAAGTTCCAGCACTCTTTCAACAATAAAATTAACTCCTCAAAATGTCAAAACAATCTGAAAATACAAGTAAAAAGGTAATAACATTTAAGATGAACTCAAATATTATCTCTAAGTATTAGGCTAAAAAAAAATCTTCAAGTATACTCACTGCTAAACAGAAAGGAATTTCTGCTATATGCAACTTCAATATAATTTGTCATAGCCACATCAATAAAGCACTGTAGGAGTCTCTTCTAGGAGATGGAAATTGTTTCTTATACTAAACATATTATAATGGTGCATGTTAAATCAATTAAGTTTTTACCCGTAGCAGTTTTCCTGGAATTATTAAGGACATTTGAATAAAAGAGATATCTAGATCTCAATATAGTTGTTACAAAAAGAATTTTTGTGAGGTGATTTTTTTTTTAAATAGCGAAAACTGAAAAACAGAAGACAATCCCTCCACACAAGACACAGCTTTATCAATCTCAATGTGTCTATGAAGAAATCTAATCCAAATAATAAAGTAAAAGAGTTCTTTGTATTCTTTTTCCCTTCTTTCTCCTGCTGCTTGGTGATACTATCTATAATAGTCAAATCCTGTTGAGGAAGGAAGAGCAAAAAAAGTTTCCAAATATTACCAGGAAAAAAACCTCAAAGTGGTATTAAAATATATTTAGCACTATATAAAAATATATAAAATATTTAGCACTATTAACATTCAAATTAAAAGTTTCCAAACATACTCCTTTGCCATCAATATCCTGAAAACACATATAGGTAGAATACTCTACCAAAATTTTAAATGCTTATTTTTTTCTTACTACTAACCCATAAGTGACAGCTGTTTGAAATTTTCTTCAAATCTTCAAACAGCGAAGCCAAGTTCAAACTCCATTATGAAGACTGACAAACAATACTGAAAAATATGTAGTAGTAGAATTAATCATTCTAACTAATGCCCTCAAAAGTGTATCTTACATGTGTACATACAAAAGAACAGGAGGTGGACTGGCATTTTGCATCAAATATTTCTAAAATATACAAAACAGGGAGGTTCCTAAAGAATTGTACAGAGAAAACAAAATGTTGCCCCTTATTTTTCTATTAGTTTTCATGATATGAGAGATGCAGTATAACAGAAAAACATACGCTTGATCCCACCAACTTTCTAAAACTCAATTCCCTGTCATGTTCTTCTGCTCTGCCGTTTAACCTAGATGTATTTTTCACGTTTCTAATCTCTCCTCCATGGCCATACTATTAGTTTGTCTATCTATTATCTAATCTATAAATTTTGTTCTGGTTACTTTTAAAAATACTTTGCTGGTATTTCTAAAAATAAAAAATTGATTTTCATTAAGTTTTGAAAATACAGTTTTTTAAACTCTTAAAAAGTTAATCTTTTAAATGACATTCCCACACTTTAACGGCTTTTAAGCTAAAATTTGTTCAAAGGATATAGAAGAATTATTTCCTCATTATTATCTAGGTTTGTGGGTTTTTTAAACCAAAGGCTACCATACACTCAAGAAGGGCAACATCTTATTTAGAGAGCAGATAGACCACAAAGATTATAACAAATCAGGGATACTCTTGCCCCTCTCAGATCACCTAATGCACACCAAAAAATTTTTCTCAGAGTGCAACTATACCTTATCTAAAACAGTTATCTTTAAGTCATATTTGAACAAAATTATATATATATCAAGTGTCATAATTACAAAGATTAGCCAATTATACACATCAGGTAAAATAAAACAGAAGAAAGTAAAAAACACACAGAGAATGTTAGTAAGGTTTAAAATTTTTGGATGAAATCCTCACATTTCAGATATACCTTTGCCTTCCAATTGTGTATAAACAGAATTTATATAAAAATTATCATAGTCCTACTGTGATTCCTCATTACGCCATGGAGGTGACCCTGGTTTCTCAAATGTCAGCAAAACTCAAATTCTGCAGGTCCTGCATCAAACTGAAAAGCCTTCAAGTAAGAGATTGTCTTGCACCCAAGGACCAATGTAACTAAGTTCAGAAAAGTTCGTCAACATGTAGGCCAGCCACAGAAATTCAGGAAGCCCACCTAAGTAAAACATATCAGTGAGTTATCAGCTGACTCAATGACCCCTTGCCTTCACAATCTAAATGGAAACACAAAACATAGATATACATATGAACGAGAAAGGAATGAGACGCTAAACTATGCTTCTGACATAGTAAGACTTATGAAAGAGGGAAAGATATGAGTAGAAGTTAGCTTTAGGGAACAGTTTTATACATATTGTTCCCATTGTTTCACATGGACTCCCTTCTCCTTTTCGCCTCTTAAAAACCCTTACTTCCTTGAAGATTCAGCTCAAACTCAACCTTATTCATGAAATTTTTCTGGATTCCTCCTAAGCTGCTAGTGCTCTCCCTCTCAAAACAACATTGTATTCATTTCATATGTATTTTGTAACATGTTCTCTCACCTGATAGACTATAAGCTGCTTGAAGGGAAGGACTACTGTATTTTTGCCTGTGTATTCCTAGTGCCTCACATGTGGTAATCACTTAATAAATGATTCTTTACTGACTGAAACAAAGGCTAAGTACTTATAATCAGTGAAAAATAAAGTAGTATATCTATGATGGGATAAGACTCTAGGGAATCTTCAAAGACAACAGCAATGAGTCAACACTTAATTGGGGCTGCTCTCTTAACTAATGAATCCCTTAACTAATGAATTCCAATCCTTAGAATCAAGGATATACTTCACCCCACCCACACCTATACTGCCTTCCTTGCTTGCTTCCTCGCCCCTGAATCAGTATCTTTTTCTTCCCCTTGTTTGTTGTTCTATCTTCAGCGTTTAGAACAGGGACCAGCATGTGTAGTAAGAGCTTAAATGTTTTATCTAACTTTTAACTATCTTGGGCAGGGGGATGGCATTAAGTCAGTCTCACTGGTACACTGTGGGTTTCCTTGGGTAGGGTGAGGCAGACTCAGGGAGGAGGGTAAAGTCTGAGAAGATGATTGGTATATTAACCTAGGTGTGAGTTGAGAAAGACCTTGATCAGGGTGAGATCTGGAAGAATGGAAAGAAAGGGATGAATCCAAGAGACACTTTAAAAGGAAGTGAAATTGAAAGAAAAGGAAGGACCCTAAATGACCCCAAGTTTTCTACCTGAAAAATGGTGATAATGCTGACAGAAAAAATAGAACTGAAATGGGGAACCTGGTGAGGACAAGGAAGATCATTAGCTTAGTTTGGACATGGTGCATTTGAGAAGATATTACATCCAGAAGGAGATGTTTTCTTTTGTCAGTCAGCTGTTTTAGTCTTGTCCGACTCTTTATAACGCCATTTTGGATTTTTATTGGCAAAGATACTGGAGTAGTTTGCCATTTCCTTCTCCAGTTCATTTTACAGATGAGGAACAGAGGCAAACAGGATTAAACGACTTGCCCAGGATCACACAGCTAGTAAGCATCTGAGGCTGGATTTGAATTCATGAAGATAAGTCTTCCTAACTCCAAGCCCATTGCTCTATCCACTGTACCACTTAGCCGCTCCAAGATGTCTTTGAGGCAGTTGGAAATATGATTTTGAGAAAACCAGCAACATGCAACAACTATCTTAGAAAAATCTTCAACAGATCTAGATACAAGTAAAAAGTGAAAAACTTAAAGTTTAATAAAATGTTATACAGTCTTGGCTAGTTTGCCTCCTTGAAATTTTAAAGAGAAAAGCATAGCTGTATTTCCCAACAGATGCTTTCAACTATTTCATTTTCCTAGACCTAACATGAAAGGCAATGTGGAGTAGTGGAGAAAGAGTTGGCCTCAAAGTCAGGAAGATTTGAGTTCAAGTCTCATCTCTGACACATACTTTACTATGTGACCCTACAGTGCTCCCAAGCAACTCTACAAGATTCTACGTACAGAACAGTTGCTAATCTGAATAGGCAGGAGTATTCTCACCTGGAGTTTACTACACTGACTGAATCAGAGTTTTGTTTTTTTTTTTTTTTTGAACAAAACAAGATACAACAAATAAACAAGAACCTCCAAAAATTTACCTTTATTTGGTCCCTAAATGAGTGTGGGTATTTCATTAATTCCCAATGTTCCCAATTTGGGGGAAAACTGAAGGAGAGAAAATATTCTTGTTTTAAGATGGAAATATAAGGAATGAATGTAAAATCACTGACCAGTAAAAGAGAATTTTAGAATTGGATGGGACCTTAGGGATCGCTCGGTTCAACCTAAAAAAGAATCCCCTCCACAACATACCTTTGACTGAAGACTTATTTTTTCAGTAAAATATATTTAATAAGAATATGAAACTACTATGGAACATACAACTTAAATTTTCTCAGAGACTTTAGCCTTGATTTAAATCTTGCTCCAAAGCATAGCAAATATTTTAAAGTCTACACAGTATACAACATAAAATTATGTATGACTATAAATAGACTTATAGCAATTTACCTAAAAATAATCTGAACTTTCTGAACAGTACTGCTCTTACCTGAAATCCTGATAAAGCAATGGATAGCATGGAAAGTGATCTAATTCTGCTATACCTGAAAATAATTTTTGTTTGCTCTTCTAAACAGTTCTGTCCCACATGATTAAAATCAACAAATTTACTTACCTATACTGGGGGGACTGCCATAGTTGACTGGAGACTCAGGAGGTCTTCCACAATGTAAAGCAGCAAGAGCTGATCCTTTCCACACAACATGTTTGCAGCCTATTGAACATATATGTATATTTATATACATATGAATATAGGCACATTTACACAAAAACTTTAAATGATAATTTAAAATCCCATTAAGCCTTCTTTTGAAGCTTCCATACTTTTATTTGTGCGAAGCAAAGACTGTCTTCCAGCTCCTAATAATGTTTGCACTCCAGGGACACTTTGAGGAATTTCTTGCTCTAGAAGTGGTCCTAGTCGATGGCATATTTGCAGCAAGTGATCGGGTGCCAAATGTCTATAATACTTCACCTATTGTGTGAAACAGAAAAATATAAAAATATTTGCTAAAGGGAACATGAACATTTTCATGGCATAAAGCTCATACTATGTCTGTTACCTAAAATTCTAAAGAAAAATTGTCACGAAAGTGAAATTTTCATTTAATTGTAAATAAAGACAATTGATTTTTAAAGCACAGAGATTTATCTTAGCTATTCTTTTAGTTCCTTTTTTGTATAGAAAAATAAACCAAGAGGCTTGGATTTATATCACATCTAGTCTTTAAATCCTGACAGTGTTACTTATTATCTAAACTTGACCAAAGTCACAGATTCTAGGCCTTATTTTCCTTTCTCATAAAGTGAAAGGGTTATACTAAACAATCTCTATCTAATTCTCATTACCCTACAATTTTACATTCCTTAAACATTTCGTATTTTTTCTGTGAAACAGCTCGATGCCTAGTTTTACCCCACAAAATACACTGCAAATAACATGGGGGAAAGGTTAAAGAAGGCATACAAGTTGAATCTAACAACTTTAAAAAAGTCACAGTTGCTATAATTAACAAAGAATTGTAGAGATTAGTTATAATAAATTTTAAAATACCATTGTGCTTTAAAATTTTAATAACTTTTACAAATAAAAATTATGTTGTGAACTATCAAAAGGAATACACTAATATTATATGCTTCATTTAAAATAAATCTCTGACTTTTGTGTAATAAAATTACAATCTGCAGTACTTGGAGATTAACTACTGAAATCAGCTTCATAATATTCTGTTTATATACTTTAAAAGTGTTCACTGAATTTTATCTTAACCTTTCAGAGCCTCGGTTTCCTCAGCAGTAAAACAGAAGTAGTATTACCTAGATACTTATCTCACAGGATTGCTACAAAGATCAAATGTGATAACGCATATATAGCACTTCACAAATATCAGCTACAATTACTATGCAGAAGGGCAAAATTCTTCTCTCTACTTTGGCCTAGGTTAGATTACAAAGTATACACACACACACACACATACACACATATATATTATATACATCCACTGTGTATTTAGAATTTGACTGGGGGTAGGGGGAGCGAGAAGGGACAATCCCTTCAAATTTACGTATATGTTAAAATATTTTAAAAATCCTAATATAAAATGAAATCTCAAAGGAATTAAATTAAGAAATTAACTATTATACTATGCTTCCTACCCAAATCATGTAAATTTCCTCACTATAGTACCTAAAGACTATTCACTGCCATTTCAGTTTGAATTCCTTATGATACTCTGGACTTTTTTGTCAAATTATTCTATACCAGCTTGGCAATAGCTTGTTACAGTATAACTGAAGACTATGACTGACATTTTAAAGAGGTTAGATATTACTCATATTTCTACACTGTCCTTAATATACTTTACTCTTCATTAGAATTTGATTCTGTCCTGCACATGCTATTATCACACTTTGTATTGCAGTAATTTAACATAAAGAATGCTGAACTGAACAACTGACAATCTAGAAAATCTTATTTAGAGTGAAATGTTTTTCTCACTATGTTAATCTTCTGATGATAGGGGATAAAAAAGGAGAGGTTTTTTTTTCATGTTTTCATCATCTCTTTCACACATTTATATAAAATCCCTATCAATGACTTAAGAGTTGTTTTGTGAAGAGATGAGGTGACAAACAAATTCTATATCCCACATTTTTAAGTTACCATATTAAAAATTCCACAGCTAGCTATAAAGCATTTTATTTTCACCCCAAATTTATCAATACTCGTAAATTACCATTTTAAAGAAACATTAACAGAGAAAGATAAATAATCACAAGCCAACATGGGACTTTGACAAATGATCTCATTTGTAGTACTATTTTCAGCAATGCTTTTATAAAATACCAGAAATACATATAAATACATATACATATATAACATTCATGTTTACTTATGAAGCACATATCCTAGCTAGCAAAACTACCTAGCATATATTTTTTCCAGAATGCTAAGTACATTTGACCACAAATTAAATACCTAACAGGTATGATTTTACCAATTTTTTTTTACCTAATTCTTTAAAGAAAAAAAATGTACACTGCTTCATTGTGAAATGAGTAGAAAGCCAAGTTAAGTCCTGACTGTGCAACTTACTATCTATCTGTATGACCTTGGGCAATCAAAACCTCTCTTGGCCAAAGTTTTCTCATGTGAACGAGCGGGTTAGAGAAAATAACTTCTAAAATGATAAATCCTATGAACCTATTACTGAACAAAATCTCTTCTAACTTAAATTCCATGACTCATGAACTCATCAAAAATTTATTTTTAAATTATTAATTGAATACAAGTTAAAAGTCAACATACTATAAAGCCTTGCTCAATTAGAAAGAATGCTCAAGTTATCAGGAGGGGTCCTCTTCTGATTAAATAAATTTTTCTAGTTAACTAGGATATCCTCTTAAATTCTGACTCTTGCTGAAATTCTTGACAAAATTACCATAAAAATATTAATAATCTCTAGAAAAGTAACATCAATATAGTTTCCTAAGTAATACGTATTGAACACAACTTTTTTTTTTTAAAAAGTCAGTATTTTGCAGTGCCTCAGAGTCATTCTGAAGTTCAATTTTCATGATAAAGTATTGGTTGAAAAAAGCTATTAATATATAGATTACCAGGATGAAAACTATTGCCAGGATATATCCAAGGGTCAAGTATTTTGAGATTGGGATATTTCCCCCTTCCCTTCCCTCCCCTCCCACCCTCCCCCACAAAAAATTCCTCATACAATTTGATTTTGTTCAGTCTTTTCAGTTGTGTCTCACTCTTCATGACCCCATTTGGGGTTTTCCTGCCATTTACTCTCTAATAAAAGTAGAATGTATCACACTGTAACCCAAGTAAATAATTAATATCAAGGATTTGCTGCATATTTTTATTTACTAAATTATTAAGTTTTTATTTTCTACACATTATTTAGTTCTCAATGTCAAACCTAATCTTGCTCTTTTCCAATACCTTTCTGAATTCTAAGGACTATTTTATAGTGCTTTTAAAACCAACCACTATCCTCTGCTACCTACATCAAAACTGAACAATGGCCATCAGGACTAAAACATAAATCAAAGCATATGTTTATACCCTCACCTCCAAACAAAAAAAAAAAAAAAAAAAAAAAAAAAGGAAAACAGCTCACTCATTACTTATAAACATAAATTTTTGCTGCTCAGTTGTGTCCAACTCTTGGTGATCCCATTTTGTTTTTTCTTAGCAAATATACTGCAGTGCCTTGCCATTTCCTTCTCCAGCTCATTTTACAAATGAACAACTTAGGCAAACAGGGTTAACTGACTACAGCTACTAAGTGTCTAAGGCCAGATTTGAACTCATAGAGAGATTGGTCTTTCTGACTTTGGGCCTTACATTCTATTCATTGTGCCACCTAGCTGCCCTAGACATATATTTTAGTTAACTATATATTACAAAGGTAATATGTACTTACCAAAAGTTGTTATGGAACAATCAATTTAACACTTTTAATTCGCTTAAAGTTCAACCATAATTCAGGAATTCAAAAGAAATCTTAAAACAATGGTACAGAAAACAAATTGGCTTAGGAAAATTACCAGTCCCTCCAAAATATTTATCTTTAAGATAAATAACTCTACACTACACTACTGAATAGAACAAAGAAAAACTGACAGTTTCTACTAGTGATCTGATCAAAGTTTTCCTTATACTAGTTCATTACAAAGCACACATCAAGCAAGTACCTGGCACTTTTTCCAGTGTGTGATTAAGACAGGGTAATAAAATTAGCAGCACATATATCCTAATATTTTCTGAGGCATTTTCCCCGCTTAGTTTTTCAAGTTCTTTTCAAAGTTTCTTAGGATACTCTAAGTTGCCAGCCACAAAAACAGGTAATCAGTTTTCCATCTGTAACATAAGTGAACCCACAGAACTGGTGAGGTGTCAGGAAGAGGATTTTTTTTCACCATCAATTAGTGGGACACATTACACTCAACAAATCTAGCAGGGAAGAACTACGATCTGGAACAGTATAAAGTTGTCCTCAAAAACTATGTATAAAACTGGAAAATTGTATTATTATATGTAATTGAGAAATGGGCCAAATCTTAATAAGAAATTAAACCAGAATAAATGTCCAAATCTTACTGAAGTTCAAAAAATCAAATTCATAAGTGTACAATGGAAGCCATAGCTAGACGGCAATTCGTCTGAAAAAGATATGGAGATTTTAGTGGACTGGACATTCGATATGACTTAATCATGTGACATGGAAGCCAAAATCAAGCTAATAAGATCTTAAGTTGCATCAAGAGGCATAAAGTTCAGAACCAAGGAGTTAAAGAGTCCTACTGTACACTGCCTCAGCCAAATCACATCTTGGTATTGTGTTCAGTTCTATGCACATTTTAGTTAGAAGAACAATGATAAACTAGACAGCATCCAGAGGTACATTAGAGCAAGATAGTACAGAAAACGCACTGTGACTATGCAATATGAAGATCACTGAAGGGGATGGTTAGCCTAAGGAAGAGATAACTTAAGGTGTGACATGATCAACTTCAAGTAGCTCAAAGTCACTCACACAGAAGAAGAATTAGTAAAGAGTAGAAGGTGCAAAAAAGCAAATTTAGGTTTGATGTTAAAGAAAAACCTCGAAATATCAGAACTGTTCACAAGTTGAATGAGATGTTTGAGGAGAGTGTGGTCCTTACTAGTGGTCATCAAACAAAGTCTGATTAGTACTTATTAGGAATGTTCTAAAGCAGGGGTCCTTAACTTTTTTTTTCTATCCTGGATCTCCCACCTCAACCTTTGGCAATCTGGAGAAACCTATGAACCCCTTCTCAGAATGGAATTTTTTTTTAAATTCACAACTCAAAAAAATACTATTAGTGAGATTATTTTTTCCCATGTAAGTTAATGAGTCCTCCTAGTCTAGAAGCAATTTTTGTTCACATAGGAATTATATTTGATGATTTCTGAGGCCCCTTCCAACT